GTGTGTGTGTGTGTTTGTGTGTGTGTGTATGTGTAAGAGAGAAAGAGTGTGTGTGTGTGTGTGTGTGTGTGTGTGTGTGTGTGTGTGTGTGTGTGTGTGTGTGTGTGTGTGTGTGTGTTTGAGATCTGCTGTACACATTGGGTTTGGTGGTTAATTGAGCGCACCAAACCCAATTTCTGTAAAGATTATAAACAGGATGTGGCCCTTTAATGTTACACAAACAAAGTCTGGTAATGAAATTGTGTTCACGCCTATTGTGGTTTTGTGTCCGGAGGCTGCCATGACAGCGACCACATCTGACATGAAGTAACACACCTTAAAAGTACGAGAGCATTGGGGACACACCAAAACTGTTTAAAAGCTAATGGAGCTCCCTTCAGGGACCAGTGTAGACGCAGCAAACACAGGCTTCATATTTTATTCATTATTTAGCTGCTCACACTCACACTCTGGCATACAGGCAGCTCTAACTCTCAAGGGATTAAAATTACAGCATGAAGTGCAACATGATGTTTTTTCTTCTGATGATTTTCTTCTTCATCAATTTCCCTGTTGCTGTAAGTACGAAACAATTATTCTCCCAGGAGGTTGTAATTTCTTTGGTAAACAGTTCATAATTGAATGTCTTTTGCAGGATTGTCATTATCATAGCAGTGATTCCGACGACAGTAGCTCAAATTCTCATCACTACAGCAGTGAGTCTGACAGCGATGAGGTAAGAATCCAATCAACCCCATCTCTTTTTAACAATAGTGAAACTTTAGTGAAACATTTATTCATTTAAAAAAATATATCACTGTGTTTGTTTGATCTTGTTGCAGAATTACAATCGTCCCTGGCCTTCGTTTCCATTCTGGCCATTTCCTGGTCTGTGGCCGCTTCCACCAGCTCCTGCACCCCCCCCTCCTCCAGCACCGACACCCAGCCCAACCACAACACAAAATCCTACCACGACCACCCGGCCCACCACGACCACAGCTGATCTCACCACCGAGGGCCAACGAGGAGACAACAAATGAACTGTGCTGATCTGGGCAGGAATAACAGATTGTGTTTAATGTGTGAACCCAGATTTTGTGAACTTATTTTTCGTTGGCAAGTTTCAGTATTGGTTGAGCAACCTTTTTATGTGTATTTTCTTTTCACTCCTCTGTCAATGTTCATATCATTTGAAATAGCATTTTCTTATGCCACACTCCATAGGACAACTTTAAGAATGTACTGATATATTGTGATTTGAAACGTGTAAAAAGTGAAACATTTACTTGGTTGGGGTTTAATTATTCGTTTTGTTGGAGGTTGGTCTTGGGCGGCGATGGAGACACCCCAGGGTGGATGCTGATGTCACACTAGTGTGAAACAGTCTCAGTGGGCACACACATCACCATCCCTGGATCAACACAGCTTAAGAAAGGGATGAGCGTTGAGCCTTTAATACCTGACTTCATCTGGGAAGTCTGTCACTCTGCAGCCTACTTTTATCATGACTCGACTCATTCATCACACTGTACTGCATTTAATCACAGAGACTTTACTGTACCCTTGCGTTATCATTCTCAGAAATATAAGTTTCTTATTGTATTAAAGCACATTCTTTAATGTCTTTTCATGATTTGTGCCAAAATGGTGGGTTTTGCAGAGCTACTTGTTATGAATGTAATCGTGTTTATTAAATTTGATAAACCAGCCAAACAACAGGCCAAGGTTTGTGTACATCAATACAATACAAAATCAAGCACTGAATAATTATTTTTGCACATTCTATTATTTGTATTTGTTGGGGGTTTTGAAAAATAAAATGTAATTTTAAAATACTGAGGTTGCTTTTTTACTTTTATTCTTATCCTCATGTTTTTCTAAGTCTTTACTGTACAATCAGATGCAGGTTATCAGGTTGCTGCCAATTGGCAAAGACATATTAGTGAGTGGGTTTTATACTAAAAGCTCTGAACAACTGTGAGTGTGCATCTGCTTATTACTGTTGACCATGTAAAGACTGGTTACTTGTCACCAGTATTTAATACTGGTCACCTTGCTTCACTGTGCATGCTGGGCTGGGAACACGTAACTTCATACATACTATGTACATGACAAGGTACCTTGTCCACAATGAAACCATTAGCTGTTGCATTATGCACAGCTATTCCTGGATTAAATTTAGATTCTTGAATTAGAAAAATAACTCCAGCTTTACTCTGCCCCCTTGTGCACTTTTGTATACTTGCAATACCTGACAGTGCCAAGCTAAAAAGACATACAGTACATTTTCATACACACCACTTAGTGAAAACTGCATAACTTTGCCCAATCTTCATTGTGTCTGACTACAATTTCTCTCATTCACACACAGGTGTAAATTAAACATTTTTAATTTCTGCACAGTCAGTAGAGAAAGGTTTCAGTGATGGACCTTCATCTTTGTAGGTCCTGGCTTCCCTTTTGAGTGCTTGTCTCAACTTGTGGTCTGGAATTGAATGATGGTTTATTTTATGAATTTGATGTCAGACAAAAGAAACGTTATACGTTATTCCTACTTTTCTACAAATTGTATATTTCTTTTTTTTTTCTCTTTCGTCGCATATTGTTTTTGTTTGACCATAATTACATCAGTGAGACACTGACACATCACTTGCACCCACAGATGGTAAAAGGAAAACCACAAGCCCTAGGTTCTTAATGGTTTGTTTGTTCATTTTTGTAGACATTACAGCATCATAATTGAAGTAAAACTGGCATTCAATGGATTTTCTTTGACTTCACCCCATTACTTCATCCACACCAGAAGAGTAGGTTGAATATGTCTGTTTTTGCTGTCTTGTGATTGGTTGTTTCTCTCTGTGAGTAGTGCATAAGTCAATGCCCCTTACCATAGGGTTTCATGGAATTTACTCTACAAGCTCTAACTGGACATCCCTCACAACTTTCATTGGTCTTGTGGGAATTATTTATATTTGGAAATGATTATCTTAATAGTTTTATCATGTGTTACCCACATGGTGTCTGCAGTACCGGTAAGTAGGCTCATTTATCGGCTCCTACATTTATTTATTGTTTCTGAGTTTGAACATTTGACTTTCATTATGTGACATTTACTGTGAAAATTATAATTCTAGGAGGATTTTAAATTTTACTATATTTTCAGGTTCGTCCAACTGTCCTTCCTCCCCTGCTTTTACAAGGAAAACCCACTCAAGCTCAAAGAGTTGCTGAACCCTCAAACCAGCTACTTGACGCTCAGACACTTTCACCACTTTCCCCTAATACGGAGCAACCGCAGCAGGCGGGGGTCATCCAGCAGGCGGGGGTCATCCAGCAGCAGGAGGTCACCCAGCAGCAGGGGGTCATCCAACCGCAGGGGGTCACCTGGCAGTCGAGCCCCCAGGTATTCCCCCAGTTCATGATTCCAGCACAACACTACACCTGGCCTCCACTAGGGGGCAGTCCAATGATTATCCCTCTGCAGCCTAACGTCTACGGATCTCAGCCTGCTAACCAGCCGACACACAGACAGCAGCCTCTGGTAGGACATAAAGAGAATAAATATTTTGGGTGGAACATTTACAACAAACAAACAATGTATTTATTGTATGCTATAGCAAAAATAAATACCATTCATACAAGAATGAAACTCATTTTGAGTGTATTTTACAGGTTTATCCTCCATATAGTTACTTCCCTCTTCTCTCCTCTGCCTATAGGAACCAAATGGTGAGATATTAAACATTTGTTATCTTATCTTATCAATCTGTCTATGCATTGCAAAAAGAACAGCATGTACTGCTCTGTACTGAACTACAAAGAACTGTACACTGCAGATACAATAATATTTTCCAACCACCCAGCTTGAGAGATATCACCTGGGGGGTCTCTTCAACATTTTCAACAGCACAAGTTTTAAGCTGTCAGCATCTATTGTATGGGAAACCTGAACCTGTAGGCTACTAACAGAAAGTGGTATGGAAATATAAAGATCTGTACTTTGCAACAATCTGTCACTTTATATAAAATTGTATGATGGAAAGTTGGATGCTGTTTTGATTTTTTTGTGCACAAGTGATGTAATTACAGTATAATACTTTGTATCTAATTGTCTGATGTTTCGATTAAGAGACAATTAAGTGCTCTCCTGTCTCTGTGCATAAACAGTTGACAAGTATTGACATATAAATGTAATTTTTCTGTCTTCAAGTTCTCCCCATATGGATACCCGATGATTGTTGAACCAACCCTTCCACAAAATCCAGCAAATCCACCTCCGAACAGTCCTGTGTTACCTGCAGAAACTCTTACTGGTCCTGCTCCTTCAGGTGCAGTTCAACCCGTGCTGCAGCAACAACAGGTGTGTTTACCTTTCCTAAATTTAATCTGACAGCAGTGATTATATCCTTAAAAAGAGAACATATTCAACATTAATATAGCAACATTTAAGGGACAATAAATCCTGCATTATGCTCAGACTTTCTGATTTTCTTCTACAGAATCCCCAAATTATATACATGCTCCAGCAATCCAAGGTAAATATACAATGCAAAATGTAAACTCAGATAGAGTCAATATCACAGTCAGGTTTATATTTCTTATTTATGATTATGTTTATTTTACATTGTCTGTCATTCTTTACTAGAGTCCTACCCTTGGCAGTTTGAGCTCAGAGGAACTCCAGGTAACACATCCAAGATTGTATCTGTCTGTCAGCCTGTTCAAACAATCTGCTCAGTGAACCCAGTGATCCCCTTGATGATCACATTGTTCCCTCTCCCTGGCCCCTTACAGTATGTCTCTTTTCTTCCGTATTTCAGATGGCAGCTGAAATGGGCCAGCTGGCCATGTACTTGACCAATGTGCTTAAAAACTCGCCTGCTGGAGCCATTCTGCCTGTGAGCCAGGCCGCTGGGCTCGCAAACCCAGAGAAGCAAGGCATGGTGCCAACAGCTGGGACCTCGGCTGGAGTCCCACAGACAGGGGGGCTGGCCAGGTCTGGGTATCAGCCAAACACTAACGTGATACCTGTGGGTTTGGAGAGAACAGCGCAACTATCAGCCACTGTCCAAACATCTGTTCAAGCCAAACTCCAACCCACTCAGGGAAACCTTGTCTGACACTGCAGCCCCATTATTACAACAATAAAGTTTCAATCTGAATTGTTTAAACCTGGGTCTACGTGTTTTGATGATTTTTGTCAAAAAACAGTCATTTTAATCTGATTTTTTTGGTCACTTGCAATCACTGAAAACACAATATATATTGTGACACCATGCACATGCACATGCAATTTGACTTTCTTGGCTAAGACTGATTTTCTCAGCAACAGCCCAATCTTGTTTATATCATACGTTGAAAAAGGCCCTCCAGCAAAGCACACTGCCCCTGTTTGGTCTTTACATTTTAATTGTGTTCAATAAAGTTGGAGTCGTTCCTACAAATTCAGTAGTGTCGTAACTTCTTCTATTTAAGTATACAGTACAGCACAGAGTGTTTTATTCTTCCCAGGAACACCATGATGTAAGGTTGCCTTCACAGTCTATGGTTGCCATGTGACAGCTTCTACCCACAGGCAAATACATGAAGCCACAAATGTTTACCATTCTGCATTTAACAAAAGTTGAGCGAGTTTGAGTCAACATTAGAAAGTCTTAATAGGCTGCAAACATGTTGTGATTGTCATGAAGGAATAAAAAAAGGTACAACTGCAATATAATATTCATCTTCAAATCATAATCAGCTATGTTATCAAGTATAAGAGGTAGAAGTGTACAATAAGATGTGCTGTTTTAGAATAACCACTTAATATATATAATATATAGGTACTACAGCTACAGCATATTGTTCAAAAGCATCAATGTATATAGCCTTGATCCCCTTTGGGCTGTGTAAAGGATGTTGGAAGGGTTCGCCTGATAGCATCAATGAGGGATAAAATGTGATGGATGTGCGTTTCATGCCAAAAATCTGTCGAGACATTTCTCACACAGATATAATGGCCAATTTTGTCAGATGAAAATAAAATTCCTTGGCTTGTTACCAAAACCTGTTATGGGTTTGTGCGTCCAAAGCTAATAAATAGGAGTAAATCTCTCTGCAGAGAACACATCCCTCCTCAACAATCCTTCAGTACCCGTGTATTGCCAGAAAGGAAAGGTAATGAATACAACTGACAGCATATAACATGTATTTGATAATTTGTTTAGATGCTCTTTCAAATGAATGAATATTTTCAGATCTTATAACTCAACATCTTTTTGGCAGCTGGATTACAAAATGAAATTGTTCTTGCTTGCTGCCTGCATCCTTGGGATGGCAGTCTGCGCCCCTGTAAGGAAAAAACCTTCACTTCCTAAAATATTATTTCTCTCTTTTATGAATGTTTTTGTTCTGTCTAGTCTAAGTAGCTGTTTTGGAGCTCCATATTCAGCACATTATAAAAGCAGATAATAAACATAATCAGCAGATTGATTTGGCTCAATTGGAGAATTAAAACATTTCCCTTTTTCTGTGCAACTTCTTATGCCTGATGATCATAGACAATGTAAAAATACTAACAGTAAATACAACATTTAGCAATTCATAATCGTCTGAATTATTGAGTTTACACTCACCTGCATTGCCTTGACACTGCAGTGTTATCTTCTCTTCTTTACAGCAGCAGATGTACATGGAGTTTGACATCGTTCACGCTCCGGCTCAGGTACACTGAGACACAGCTGTGTCATACAAACCACAGTAAAAGTCACATTTTGAAACCGAATAACACAGGTCTGCTATTATATGTTTACTACTGAGTCTCTCTAGTTGAGCCTGTTGGTGTCTCTTTTACTTGTGGTTTTCTGCTATTTCTCCTGAATTTAAGGTTACAAATTATATTATTTTCCTTTTCAGGCAGAGCATCTTATTCCTGCTGGAGCCCCAGCTGATACACTGGACGTTGTAAGTATTTATTGTTTAGAATATCTTTAATTATTATTTTTAAAAATAACACTTATTCTATGATGATAATCTGGGTTGTTTATTTTCCAGCTTCTCCCGGTTGATGCCAAAGGAAGGCCTATTGCAGGATTTGTGAGTCCAATAGTATATCCTGAATTGTCTCTATGGATAAAGTACTTAATAGATGCTTAAACCAAAAATAATCAAAGCCTAAAAACATGTAGAGTACATAGTCCAACAATATTAATGTGTGCCTGAATTTGTGTCATTGAAAGGGCCGTGGCTTCATTAAGCAAGACGTCTCCTGGCCGAACGTTAAAGGCACTAGAGAAGTGGTAAGTGCCTGCAGATTTGCATTCCTCTGATTGAAGATTTGTAACATTTTTATTGAACTGATGATATCTTCTCTTTCTAATGTCGTCCAGTACTACCCTTTCGGTTTTGACCCACCAAAACCTGCTCCTGTTGTTCCTGCTGCCCCTGTTGTACCTGTGGCCCCTGTGGACCCTGTTGTTCCTGCAGCTCCTGCAGTTCCAGCTGCCCCTGTTCGACGCATCGTTGCTGCTAGTAAACCAGTAAGTTATATTTTTATTTTGGCCGATTTTGGTTTATTGGATTGATTGATTGCAATGTTCATTAAGTGCTCGCAGGAAACTGCATTGAATTGCAGTGGTAATGCAACAGGTTCATTTTAGTAAATTAGTATTGCGTCAGAGTGACACACTTACAACTATTTTGGCTGAGGTGTGGAAAAATATTAACCCATCAGCAAAAGATCCTCACTCCTGACTGGCTCCTCACAAGTTTCTGTCATTTCAGGCTGCCGAACCCAGCAGCGATGATGATGATGAGGACGATGACTAAACCGAGTAGGTAGGAGCCGGATGTGTACACATACACACACAAAAATAATTGACATGTATAGAAGGCACATGCATAATCCAGAGTTTTAGGTTTTAAAGTTTGAAAACAAAATATTACATGTATTTTCTTTCTTTAAGTGAAAATGTTTTGTGTAAACAAGAACAGTTACAGTGTTTTTGCTCTCCTTCCCACTTTAGGAGATGAATAAAACAAGACCATCACAGTGAAGAGGACCAGCCACTGCTGTTTTTCAAAATATGAAACATGAAATGTTTTTGAGAAGAAAATAGTATTCCTATTTCTTAGGTAATAAATGGCTCCCTGCACATGGTGCAATGCTTGTCTGTGAATTAAAAGCAGAAAAAGGGGCTGTGAATCGTAATATGAATGTTGCTAAATGAAGATGAGTGTGTTTTTTATCCCAGTTTTGAGTCCTGCATGTTTGTAACTTCTATCAAATAAAAAACAACTCATCCATTCCTAGAGTTCTTTGCTTTATACTACTTTTTACATTACATTTCACTAAGAAAACATACTTAAGTACACAATCCACAGACATTGACTATAATAGCAAAAGACAAGTACATTTTGAATCACATTTAGTGTTTGTAATGAGATTATTACTGTGTTCATGTAGGTAATGTTACTCAAGGGCACACACTATGAAGACTGCTAAAACATAGCGAACCTATATTTATCAAAATTGTTTACTGTAAATATTCACAGAAGACATTTTTTTTTTTTCCCGCTGCAGTTGCTTGAATAGACATGTAAGGCTGTTTTGCTCTGCTCTTTTTTTGAAACACAATTAACATGCAAGCAACTAGAAAGCCATTACTATTACATTTAGTTTTAGATTCACATACATAATATACATAAAGCTGCAGTTATACAGAACCAGTAAGGTTGTGGTGGCAGAATGATGAGCAGGCAGGATGAAGGTGTGTACTTCTCTAGACAGTGTAATCAAGCAGAGTCAGCTATTACACAGAAGGTGGATTTGACCACCGGTCATTTAGTAAAGCTGAGGACTAGACACCTGCACTGCACCTACTCATTGGCTCACATCACTAGACTCTGATTGGCTCTCAGGTGAGCTGGCACCCTATAAAAGACGAAGTAACTCTGCAGAAGATACGATCAACTGGAATCATCTCCAACATCGACAGTCATCATCTCCTACAGTCTTCTATTCCAGAAGGTGAGTTATGAAGAATTTCTACACAAGTTAATGCAAACTTTTATAATGACCACCAACCATTCAGGTTGAACTAGATGTTTAATAACGTGATGATTTGTATCTGCAGGACTTCAACAATCTGCAAAATGAAATTGATCATCCTGTGCCTCTGTCTGGCCAGCGCCTCAGCTGCTCCTGTAAGTTTTAATAAACAAAGGGTTTTTTTTTCTCAATCCAGGCAGGTTTATGAAGTTTTTTTAATTTCTGTTTTTCTCTTGCTTTTCAGTCCATCTTTCATTACCTGCCTCATTATGCGGGTTCCAGGCCACAGGTAGCACCCTCACAGGTAATTGTTGTGGGGTGTTTAAGCCTTTCAAAAGTTTTTTGTTTGTACAAATGTAAACATACTACTGAATAAAGGCTCAGGTATGAGACACAGCTGAAATATTGCTATGTAGAGTTAACTGTAAACTGACATTTTTCCATCTAAATTTCACATTCAGGTGAGAAATCCCTTCGGAATTCCATCTCTGCCACAACCCGGTGCAGCTGGTGCCTACAGCGTGGAATTGGTGAGAACCTATTTTATATGCAGGCTTTCTATTGAGAGATTTATTTTTGACAGTCTGTACTCAGGTACAAATTCTAATGCTGCACTTGTGTTTTTTTCCTAAGATTTTTCCTCATAACTTTGCTGGTGGTGCCGGTGGGTCCAACCCTGCACAGGTAGACCTACTTTACAGAAGCATCTTCTCATACAAATTGGATGTCATTTACATAATTGCTAACCAATTGTCTTTCTCTATTTTTGCAGCCCTTTGCTTCCCATGGTTTCATGAAAATATCCATTCCTCAGCCACCTGGCAGACAGAGCGTGGAAGTAGTAAGTGTTGTTGTGTTTCCCCATTCAAAATTAAAGTAACTTTTGACACTTAAAATACTTTAGTTATGATAATAGACAGAGCAAACTACTTGTTGGCACAATTCTTAATGATATTTTTCTGCTTTTTGTGTTATTTTTCATTTGCAGTACTACCCATACGACTTCTCCCAGCAAAGGGTAAACAATTTAAATTTAATATGATTTAGAATATAAAATAAAACTAAACTAAATGAAGGTATTTGCTTTTATTTCAGATAATGACAAACATCCCTCCTATGACAAACGCCCCTCAGATGCCACATGTGAGGATTGTTTACTCAATTATGACTTTTATATTTATCATACTGTATATGACCAACCACTTTGTTTTTTTCTCACAGGGGCTGCCATTTGACTTCCCCCCTCAAAATATTCCCCAACAAATCCCAAATGTGAGGGTTAAAAAAATCTAAAGTATAAATACGGAACTTTTGAGCATTTCTTCACTCCTGAGGTTTTGCATTTATTTTCTCAGATTCCTACCTTCGATACTGGATTCAATGCTCTCCCATCCCAGGATCCCCTGCAGGCTCTCCAGCAGGACCAGCCCACACAGACAAACAAGGCACTCATCAATCTATGTTACTTAAAATGCATTAACGTTTTTGTACTGCTGATAAACAGAAGTATTGAACAAATTATGAATACATGAAGAACGTTGTCATATAGTGAGAATTTATGAAATTATTACAATTTGGTTTTAATTTTTACATTTTTCTTTGCAGATGCCAACTAATGTTTGAAGTCGATGAGAAGATCGGAAGAATTGCAAGACCATTTCTTCTTCGTTTACATTCAGACACAATTACTTTAAATGATTGAATTTGGTTCTGCAACATGATCATAATCAAATAACCACGTTTTAGGATAGTCAAATAGTCTTCATTTATTTAAACTTTTATAGTGTTATGAAGTACTGTGTAACCTTGTACCTTGTATTTCCACAGTGTGTGACACATGTACTGCAAATGTTTATTAACTCATTTGATATTTCTCAAATGTCATTTTCCTTAAGAATAAATTCTAAGTTTTCAAGCTATATCCTTTTCTGTTTGTTTTCATTCAAAGCATTTTTGACTGGTATCATTGTTGTATGTGTTTATGTGGTCAACCAGCTCATATTTGATAAATAATCATATAAATGACTGTAGAACAGAAAACTTTGCTTTCGTCCTGACAGTCCTAAAACCAAATCAGTGTTCAATGATGTACAACAGATAAAAGCAGCAACAATTTACCTAAATCAAATAGTTTGCTTTTGCAGAATTATTTTATATTGGTCAGCTAATTCCTTAATGAACAATTGCGGCTGGTTTACAAAGCTGTGGTCCAACGAAAACAATCCATCAATCTTTTTTTCCAAAGGACAATTCCAGCCCATCCAGAAAGCTATTGGTTTCAATTTATTTCATTGCTTGATGCAAAATCCAATTTGCTGGATATAATTCATGCTTAACAGTTAATCCTGTCAATGAACTAGTAAACACTTTTCAAAACTATTTTAAAGTAAAGTAACTTTTTCAGGTGGGGTATGGGCATTGATCATGGCATTGATGATGATCCACCATGGCATTCTAGATATGTGTTTTCTTAAAAATGTGGCCAATATTTTGATCAGCAGGCAAATATGGGCATCCAGAAAAGATAATTGGGGTTAGAATTGAACTTCTACTGAAACGTTTCCTGTGTATCTTTTGGACCTATAGGAATTTAGAAGCTTGTACATTTGTTTTTTTTAATAATGTACAAACAATCGACATTGAAAACAGTGGAGGCCCAATGATTGAGCCCTGTTGAACACCACATGACAAAGGACAAGGGATAACTGATATACAGCATGAGTGTCACATGTATAAACACATCTATTGTGTCATATAAGAATACAAATATCACTGAACACAACATTTACAAAATACATATAGTATGTATCTTGTTCATTGCATAGGCTACTGTACATCATAATTACTTTTCATACAATTTGACATAGTGGTTAGACAATTCCCCACAGTGAAATGTAACTGTCTCAGAAAAATAAACACCATACATGGGAATAGTTTTCTAATCCTCACTCCCCTTGGGCCAAAATCCTGTCACAACATGACTCAACATTTATCTCTTCAAAGCGTTTAACATATACAGGCGCCATCCTCTCACGCTATGACTGTCTCTTCTTCACAAGTTTTGTTTCCTGGAGCATTCACCACATCAATTCATAACTTCCATCAACCACAGCAGAGGAGATGTTGAAAGCAGGTTTAAAAGCTTTAATTGGACTTGTCAACCTCAGCATGATGGCCCTTGTACTACACAGTATTTATGTTAAGTTAAAGTAAAGTAAGTAAAATGCAAACATACAAGACACACAGTGAGGATGTAATAAAAGAGGATAAATGATGCAGTTCTGGGAAGATAAAGCAGCAATGACAGGCAACATAGTTGGGGAATCAGCGCACACACACACACACACACACACACACACACACACACACACACACACGTAAATAAACCAACACACTGCTATAATCACACTCTTGACCTTGTTCTGACTTATGGTATTGAAATTGAGCAACTATTAGTCGAACCGCATAATCCTGCTTTATCCGACCATTTCTTAGTAACTTTTGAAGTACTGTTACTAGACTACAAAGCATTAGCCAAAAGCTCCTGCAGCAGAAACCTATCCGTTAGTGCTATAGCCAAATTTAAGGAAGAGATTCCACCAATACTTAACTCGATAGCATGTCTGCATGTAGGGGAGGAAACTTATACAAAATGTACACCACCCCAAATTGATCATGTTGTTGATAGTGCTACAGATGCGCTGCGAATAAAATTAGACTCTGTTGCTCCTTTGAAAAAGAAGAAAATAAAACAACATAGATTAGCTCCATGGCATAATGCCGAAACCCGCAAAATAAAGTCGAGACAACTTGAAAAGATATGGCGTTCCACTAAACTTGAAGAATCTCGTTTAATTTGGCATATTACTCTCAATGAATATAAGAAAGCACTGCGTAAAGCGAGAGCAGCCTATTACTCTTCATTAATAGATGAGAATAAGAATAATGCAAGATTTATTTTCAGCACTGTAGCCAGGCTGACAGAGAGCCACAGCTCG